ATTAAAGGTTTAAACTTAAAGATAGTTTTAAAATATTTATGCTCTACCTGTGTGTCACTGCAAAATCGGCAAAGAAGAGACCGCATCATCAGACAGGAATTCTTCAATGCTATAATACGCTTTTTTGATAAGTAGTTTTTTTATTATTTGTAGGAAACTTTTAGTAGGGGTACAGCGTATAGCTTCAGGAATTTTGTTGAAGAATATTGGATCATAATAATTTTTATAATTTCTGATTTTAGACAACCTATGATACTGTAGAACTAAATTATTTTTTTGTTGGGTATTATGTAAATGAGTAGTGGATACATAGTCATAAGTTTTTATAAACTTAATGCATCCATAAATGTATAGTGACGGTATAGTTAAGATACCAAATTTTATAAATTTTTCTCTAATATCCTCCCTATAAGTAAGAGAGAACATATATCGCATAGCTTGTCTCTGGATGCCAAAAATTCTTTCAGTATGTGCCAAGTGACCCCAACAGAGAAATGCATACAGAACTAGTGACTGAAATAAAGCATAGTAAGCCTTTAATAGTACTTTATTGCTAACAATTTTGGCCAAGTTTTTTAGGAGATAAGTTACCCTGCATAGTTTTTTCGCTAAATAATCAACATGAGATTTCCATGTTAAAGATGAGTCAAGCATTACTCCTAGAAATTTCACATTTGACTTCAACTCCATGTCATGATTTCTAAGAGAGAAAACAATATAGTCAGTTTTTGAGTCATTTAAGCGAAGCCTGTTACAGTTGAACCAATCATCAACCTTCAACTGTGCCTCTATGATTTTTTCCTTTAAATTAGTTATGGAGAGATTTGTTTCAATCAATGTATCATCAGCAAAAAGAATCACCTCAGTGTCTGGCACCACCGCAGGTAAGTCATTGATGTAAATCAAGAACAGTAGCGGGCCCAGTACCGAGCCCTGAGGAACCCCAAATTCTACCGATGATAAATTTGAACATTGTTTATTGAAGTAAGTAATTTGTTTTCTGTCAGATAGGTAAGAAGTTATAAGCCCTAATAGTTTATCATCGATTTCATAAAGATTTAGCTTTGATAAGTGGATATCATGAGAGACGCAATCAAAGGCCTTTGACAGATCATATAACAGGCATCCAACAAATTTCTTGTTATCAAAACCATAATTTACAGTATCCACAAGTTTACTTATTACGAGAGTTGTAGATTTATTATTTGGAAAGCCAAACTGGGAATTTGTGGAAAATTTTTCTTTGCTCAAGATGATTATTAATTTTTGATAATATAGGGGGTAATGAAATTGGTCTGTGACACAGGCACAACTTTTGAAATTTTAAGGCAATTTAGATAAATATCTAATTGTATACTTTTATTTAGCAATTTACATAGTGGAGATATTTTTTTTTCTGATTTCAAGAGATTCACATTTAGTTCATTAAAATCCTTACTTTTATTGCTCTTCGTTGTATTGCATTTAGAAGAGAAAGGTTTGAAACTCAACCTTTTGGAAAACTTTCAAGTGGAAATCTCACATTAAAGTGTATTTTCTGAATATGTTTTAATGGATTTTCATCAAGATCTATGTGTGAAAATATATTCAAATCGTATTTTTTAGAAAAAATACCTGGGACCAATACATTACCATGTGAAGACAATGAAGATACAATTCTCAGTAGCAGCATTTTGGGAAAAGCTGAAATAGCACTTGTTTTCCCAGAAAATTCAGAAGAATTTGAAAAATTGGATTATTCGGTATCACCGTCTGAAACTTCGACTAATGAATATATAGAAAAAGATGCTGTCGAAGATCTCTCTGGATTGTTAGCCAATAAATTTAACAAACTATTTCCGGATTCGCTTACAATGAAACATGAGCATTCCTATGCAAAACCTACACATGTTGGTTCGGCAGAGCCTTCAACAAAACTTAGAAAATGTGTTGAAATATTGGAAAATGAATTCCATAAAATCAATAAAAGCACTTTTGTAGCAAAAAAGAATATTGTCAAGAGACTGTTGAAACGTTTGAAAGATGAAGTTGAAATTCCTGTACAAGTTACTGAGGCATTTATCAAGCAAAGGATTCTTATAAGGATGAAAAAATTGAATCGGAAAAATTTTGTTGGGAAGACAAATAGAAGAAAATCAAAAACTATATCAAAATTGAAAAAAATGAGTTAGTAATGATTGAAATTTTTAAAAGTCGAAAGTCTCGTCAAAAATTGTGCGAGTTGAGGATCAATGAGGTCGTGCCTTTTAACGTGCGATTTCTAGAATAATGAAAATTGCATCCAAATCGGTCAAGCCGGTTTTTAAATTAGCATGCAAAACCCCTCAGACAAACAGCGATCAGTTACACATTTATTATATATATTAATTGTGATATTCTGGTATTTTTTAAGGAAATACTCAAATCCGTCTGTGACCTATTTGTGTTAAAATATGTGTTATTGTATTTGTTCATTGTTAATTCTAGTGATTCTTATTTAAATGATGTGAATATTATTTTATCTTTAGATAACTAAGAACTTGCTCAGTTGAATTCTGTGAATTTAAAGTACTGAAAAATGTTCAAGCATATCGAGTGAATTTTGAGTATTCGAATACATTGTTTATTCTATGATTATTGTTTCAATATACCCGTTATTAGTGATGAAAAAAGATTGAAAAATATTTTTGTAGTTACCAGAGGTTGTAATCGATTTGTCTTAAAGACAAATAACTTCGAACCATGTGAAAAATATTAATCTGGATGTACTGAAGATATTTACATAACAATATGCTCCAAAATGCATTGTTATTGTAGATATTTTATAATTTGTCTCTGATATATCTATGTAGTGACCGGGTCGACAAAGAAAATTACATCCAAGTCGAGGGAAGAAAGATAAATTTTGAAGAGTACAGCTAAGTTAGGAAGGCGAGATTTGAAGTATTTTATAGGAAGATTTTTCGTTTCTATATTTGCTTTCCATTGAATTTTTATTGCTTTTTTCTTCGCTGGGTAATGCCCTTACTAGCTACATCAATGGCACTTCTAGAATTTGTCAATTAGACTACATAGGATCAGTAGTTTTTTAACAGAATAACTTGTAAAAAAATATGCCTTTGTACCTATTATTGAATATAATTTGAATTATATAAGATGTAAATTATGATTTATATTTTGGAAACCAAAATTATTTTTTAGAACTTTTACTTCTAACCCTATTTCTTCTTCTTTTTTCCTTCAATGGCTTCAGCCGCCAGGGCTATCCAGCCAGGAGTTCCAAGATCATGTTGCTACTACAGGTAGAACCCAATTAGTGTAATTTAAAGTCAATTAACAAGCGATGTCCGACTGCACTAGAGTGTAAACGTAAACACTAATGTGAGGTGATGCACTACGGTTACATGTAAGGGCACTACGATCAGGTCATGATTGACGAAGCAGTGCATACGCACAAGTATTAAGTTTGTCTTGGTAACTACAGCTTTATATTGGATGCAATGAGAAATTTGGATATGGTTTGTATGTTAGATGGTGATATATGTTTGAAAAAGATATCGTAAGGTAAGAGGCTGAATTGTTGAAGGAAGTATTTGTATATTGTGAGAATTTTTAGAGCAGGCAAAAAATATATGTAGGAGAGTCTGTATTTCCCCATATTCGCAGCTTTTTATTATGCTTCCTTAGTCCTTCAAAAGTATTTAATGTGCAAGAACTTGTAAACCTGAATCGCTTTGATTCGAAATTTTCATGAGATATATTCTTATGATTGTCTCATTTCATTAAAAATGATACTAATATATGAATTTTGGAGTATATTACGCATTATTTGAATATATATATATATCTGGAAGATTATAATGGTGTACTAACGGATTATGTAGATTTTCAATGATATTTTTCCTCCAATGACGTCATAAAATGGCGCCCAAAATTTTTGACATTTCGTAATTCCTCTTATATAGTATGAATAGACTCTGAACTGCCAAAATCATACACTAACTCTGCTCTCGCTCAACAACGCAGTTTCATATATAAAAGATTCAGCAAAGTAGTTATTTGATTAATCGTTGGCACTAATATTATTTTTTCTAGCACACATAATTCACAATTATATCTTACAACTAGAAAGTGCCTGTGAGTTTCTCTCTCAATGTTTTTGGTTTCTAGTTCCATTCAGGCGCATCAAGCCATGTCTGTATCTGAATGTTGCATAAAATCATGTGCATGAAAGGTTCATCCATATTTGAGTCATAACAGTTAATCAACTCATACGTCAAAATTTAGCTGTAGCAGAGAAAGTTAGTGGTAGGAACGTATATAGATTATATGACATCATCTGTGGACAATATTAAGATAACATAATTCTAGTTATGTGTACTCGTATTGTAGGAATCAATTTTATGATACTGTAAATAATATTGTGATATTTTCAGTCGTATTCATCAAAGACACAAAATTACCCATTCAGGTAATTCTGATCTCAAGAAGAATAATTCATTATTCTGTATCGCAGATTAAGTTATCTGTGAGGCACAAAATAGTCGTAGGACCATTAAATTCGCTCAAACTATTCGTTCTAACAAAATGGAGGTCACCGAAAATGACATCCTTAGATCAAAGGCGCTGCCATTGAATATTCCTTCTGATTGTTTACTCTCCTATGGCTCTTCTATGGCAAAGAGTTTGATAGTATAAATCTCTCTGATATTCAAAACTTTTGCATCCTCATAATGAGCTATACGTAATAGGCCTTTCCGCTAGTACTTTATATAATATTTTTATGATTTTTCAAGAAATATATGACTCTCAATGAATTGATTTTATGAAACAGCATTTGAATTCTTTTTACAATTAACGAAACGGTGTACGAAGATTTTTGGAAAGAATAAAGAAAAATAAGAATATAGAATATTTAACTCGGCATATACAACTTTCATGTGTTGGTGACACTGATGACTTGACACATACACGGCACGAAACAAAGAATATCTGTCACAGTTCACAGAGTTCTATTTTTCTGAATTTAATTGTCAAATATCAAATACGTTTATTTGTAAATAATTGAGAAATAGGGTTCTGAAGAATCGGAAGTCGGAGTAACTATAAGTAGTACTTATTAATATTATTTTCCAAAACAAAATTGTGTAAATATGTCCGTTCCTAATTTAACAAACAGTATGATTCAGCAACAAAATTTAGTTATTAATCAAGTTCCACTTACTCACACATTAATGACCAATGTGAATGCTAATAGTATTCCAGTTGTGAACACTATTTCCCACACCAATTCGAACGACCACAGTGTGGATATGAAACCAGGATTATCTTTGGGAGATTCTGTTGGAGGTAACATATCATAATTTTTCATGAATTGTGAAACTTGACTAAAGTTGAGGCAGTGCTGCTGTGTTCTTGATTCACTGCTGGTATTAGTTAGGTTGCAAACTGCTGGTATTAGTTAGGTTGATATCTTAGACAAGCATATATATATGCTGAACGATACGCTTTTGTTTTGTGGGGATTTTGTTCGAATGTACACTTCTACTCAAAATGTTTGCTTTCGGGAGATGACAAGCATGCTCAATTGCAAGAACCTTGTCACGTATGCTTTTGTTTTCGATTGAAGCGAGGAACAACTTTTAAAATGTTTGCCAAATTTTATGTCAGTACTCTTTCATATCTTACTTTGTACAACGTTCCTGTGAATGTTTTATTTCCATTACGAATGTTTGGAGTCTGATAATCAATACTTGTTCTTTTCAGGCACGACCATAGTACAAAACACCAATTCAATTCCAAAAGCAGTCCAGCAAATTGGGTCTTCAAGTGAGCCTCTTCAGCTCTTGACCAAGCAACGGCTCCAAGATCTAGTTCGAGAAACAGACCAGACTTTGAATTTGGAAGAGGAAGTTGAAGAAATTATTCTGAACTACGTGGACGAATTTGTAGATAGGTGTTTGAATGGTGCTGCACTAATTGCAAAAAATCGACACACCAATACCATCGAGGTGAAAGATGTCCAGCAATTTTTGAATCGTAACTATAATATGTGGACACCTGGATTTGGTACTGACGAGTTGAGGCCATATAAACGAAGCTTGACTACAGAAGCCCATAAACAAAGAATTGCTTTGATCAGGAGAACTTTGAAGAAGTTTTAGTTTTGGGGGAGTTGTGTCCACAATGTTTTTATTTTTATTAAAAGTGTTTTGAAGTTTAGAATTTAAGTATTGATTTATCGATTTCTTTGATTAGTTTTATGAATTACAATGTTGGTATGATGAAAGGAATTTTTATTTGAATCCAGTCACTAATACTTGGAGAAAGTACTTTCATGTGGAATAACTTCTTTTAAAAAATCTTAAAACCATGTATTCTACCAGACATATGGGGTGGAAACCCTTTCACTGAAGGAAGTATTGAGAAGATGTAACTACTATATTACATGGATTTCAAAGTCTATAACTGCCTCTTAGAATCTAGTATGAAATTAGTCTAGGAGTGATAATCTAATTTTTTTTTTCTGTGCAGATACTATTGTAGGATATCAATATTTGTATTCAGAGCGTTGGGTTGGCAACAGTGGACAATCGCAGCATTGTATGTTTAATAAATAAGCATATATTAAATTTTACTGCATCCTCTTCTCATTATAACACCCGAAACAGCAGACACACTCTGAAACTCACTGTGCCAACTAAAAACATCACCAGACTCCATATTTTACAACAGTGGAAAAATGTACAATCATTTGCCTATGGACATAAGATCTGCCAATATAAATGACTTCCAATTCAGGAAGTTAGTCAAACAATTTCTATCTAATAGCGATAGCTTTTTAACTGACTTACTCATATTTTTTATATTTATCTATTAAGGAGCTCCTAAGTTGTTCCTTTTTGTCTGCTTAGTATTTACTACCCAAGCTTTGTCTACAAGATTATGAAGACGTTACATGGTGTCAGAAGTGGGAATGGCTGCATCTTTTAAAATACAAAAACAATCCAATTCCATTGGTCTATCACCAGCTCAAATACTTTCTAGTAGTTTGAAAAATAATGTTATACTGTAGATTCTATATTAAAACCTCAGCTTAGCTGTAATAATCAATCAATCACTGTACTTTATTGTCTAAGAAAAAAATCTTATTGACAAAGCATATGAAAACAATACTATTACACAAAATAACATACACATATATAACACATATGCACATATATACAGGTGCAGACAAAATAAAAATATAGTCGAAGTTATGTAAAATTTCCAGAACTGTAAAAAGTTCAAAAAATAAAACCTAAATCAGAAGCTGGTCTCAAAGCCTGTCTTGAAAATATTCGACCAAGCTGTAATACGCTTTTAAGAGCAAAAGTTCTTTTACACGGTTACGGAATACCTTGTAGTTCACTATACTTTTCATTTCGGTAGGTAAATGGTTGAAGATCTTCCGACTCTCAAACAAAACAGAATGTTTTGTTAACGTTGTTATTGGAATAGGCAAAGGTATGTCGTGAATTTGACGGGTAAAGTAGGTATTTTCTGATCTATAGCATTATCTTCTTTTAAATATGAGACTTACTGTTTCCAAGATAAAAATGCAGTATACAGTCAGTAATTTATTATTGATAAATAGGGGTTTGCAATGGTCCCTAATATTGGCTTTGTAGATGAATTTCACTGCTCTTTTTTGCAAAACGAAAACAGACTGTAGTAACTGTTTGCTACAAAACCCCCAGCGTAGTACGCAGTTTTACCAGCAGTTGCTCCCAGTTCTTTAGTGATAACTCTAATGGCATAACAGCTAGATGAAAGTTTTTGTTCAGATATTTTATATGATATTCAAATTTCAGAAAGTTATCAATCCAAATTCCCAAGAATTTAGCAGATTGTTTATTTTCTATCATATGAGTTTGGAGGCAGAAATTTCCGTGCACAAATTTAAATGATAGAATGTTAGTTTTGCTGAAGTTAAAACATAGTGAGTTTGAGTCACACCAATACTTAATTTTTTCTAAATCAGCTTTAATGGTACTCTTCAAGGAAACCAAATCCTTTCCACGCCACAATAAAGTGGTGTCATCTGCAAATAGTGTAATTTTACCATCAATATTGATGTTAGGAAGATCATTCACATATAGGAGAAATAAGATAGGACCTAGAACAGATCCTTGAGGAACTCCACGGCCTATTTTGGAGAGACTGGATGTTTTATTTCCTACCTCGACAATTTGATTTCTGTCAGAGAGGGTTGGCCCTCTGAAACCATAGAGAAATAATTTCAATATTCTGTGATCTACACAGTCAAAGGCCTTAGAAAAATCACAGAATACTGCAGCGGCCGCCTCGCCTTGATTTAGGCCTAAATATAGCTCTTCCAAGAAGTCAAAGATAGCATCGCTAGTATTCTTACATGATTGAAAGCCAAATTGGGCATTGTTTATTATATTATGTTTTGTAAAGAAGAATATCCTTCTTTTCTTGACAAGTTTCTCTATAAGTTTCGATAGAGATGGTATAAGAGAAATTGGTCAAAGGTTTGACGGCTCGTTCGCTGCACCCCCCTTGTGAATAGGAATAACTAAAGCAGTTTTCAGGACACCAGGAAAAGTTCCAGTTGTGAAAGACACATTAATTGAATCCGCCAGAATATGAAGAACCTGATCGGAAAGATTTTCAAAAAGTTTAATGGATACTTCGTCGATCCCGTGTGTTTTTTTATTTTTGATATATTTTAAAGTTTCTCTAATTTCCTCAACATTTGAAGAAATTGCAACTTTCAAAGAGCGTTCAGTCAATCCAGAAGAAATATGAGACATTCCAAAACTGAGCAAAAAGTGCGAGTTGAAGCAGTTTAAATCAAAAGTGAGAGTTTCTGTTCATTCAGAGTCACATGATTCAATTAGTTTTCAAGTTATTCGCAAAACCCCAAGTTTTCAATCACACTTGAACGAAATTATTCAAAAACACATTACATCTCAAACATTTTTATTTGCTTAGTAATAAAAAATTACAAGATTACTGTGGAGCCCTACCACGTCCGAATCCTTGCCTGAATTCAACGTCACCAGTTCCTGGCCCAACATCGGCCTTCTTGTCTGCTCCTGGACCTCCAGGAGTCCTTCTATACCCAGCACGATCCTCTGAAGGCTTGGAAGTTTCTGACCTGAGAGCAGTGGGCCGTGGTCTAGTTGTCTCTGTACGTGCAGGCCTCTTGAGGGTGGACGGGACAATTTCAGGGGGAAGATGTAAGAATGTCCTCAGGTACTCTATGCCAGGGTTTGTCAAATACCTGCAAATTGCAATTGAACGATGTTATTGAAAGAGGAAACGATAATATATAAACGCCGACAACTTCTGAAGATACTGAACTTACTAAACATTGACAAACAAATTTGATTTTGAAAATTTATATATAAAAGGTTCACAAAACTGCAAAATACATTTCGCTATACAATAGCTTTCTCAAGTACTTTAAAGACAAACATTTCATATTCAAAAACATTTCTATGATTTACGAGTCGATCAGAAATTCAATCCTGATATCCAGTTTCAACTACCTCAAAGGAAAAGATTACAGTAACCAGTACAAGCAAGTAAAAAGGGTGGACATGCTCCAGCTACATTTACAACTCAATTTTAAAGTCAGTTTCATGGAATTCATCATTATTCACGAGGGTATCTATGAGATAAACACTTATTCTTTTGCCTTGATTATTGAAGCTGAATTTATACACAATTGATTAGCAAGGATCAACAAAAAAGATGGAATTGATGCTTTCTGTAAGCAAGCGCTCAAGTTTTCATTGGAAAAAAATCTGTAACATCCACTATTTTATATCTATTATTGTGTATTTTTTAACGCAGCATCACCAATTTACATTTCAGCGATTATAAAAACCTTATTTAAGAAACAATTAAAATTAACACAACACAACCTACAATGTTTTGATATTCAAAAATTATTAGGTTAGGTTATCCCTCATTTTGACTCTGTCCTGAAATGGGCCCATCAGCGATCATTTACACAATAGAGGCCTACCTACAAGTAAAAAATTTGCGACAAAAAGATAAGAAAGTTAAAAGTTGAGCAACTTCAACTCTTCGCTTGTTACTCTATAATTGTTAAATTTTCTGCATAAACACGTCCATTGGGAAGTGATGAGATCAGCATATAATTGAAGATTGTTACTTGCTAATAGAGTGGGCATAAATTCACCATTACAGTACGAGTACAATTGCTACATGTTTTTCTAGTTCATATACAAATGTTTTAGACCAATTTATTTACTAAACTAGACCATTACGACGTACCAATAATAATGCCTCCAGGCAAACTGCTCCTTCACATATCCCTTGGATTTGAGGGACTGCAAGGCTTTGATAACTTGCAAGTTAGGAATACTTTCCAGTTCAGGATGTTTGGGAGCATGGTAATCCTTCTTGGCAACCATAACACCTTCTTTGAAAAGGTATTCATAGATAGCAACTCTGTTCTTTTTTGGCATCAACATCCTGAAATTAAAATAAATAATGTAGATGTAGGTAATAGGTTAGGATAACTTTTTATGTTTGTTCAAAGTTTTCGCCCAAAATTAAATGTAGAATTTGAAGATTTCGAGTAGATGAAAGATGAGTACTTATTTATTAAAAAAAATCACAATTGATGATTTAGATAAATTTGAAAATTCACTTTACTTACTTGACGCTCTTATCTTGGAAGCTACCAAACTAAAAAGAAGTAAGATAGAACATGAAATTCGTCAACTCTTCTTCTTGTTATTTATTCTTATTCTTCTGGCACAGCTCAAATATGGGCTATGACATAAAGATTTTCTGCCGGTAAAAAATTTCGTTGAGCATTGACATTGAAATTATATAGACACAATGGAATTTGAAACACAAAAGGTACTTCTTATAGATATTACAAAAAAATAACCTACTGGGTTTCATTTGATGGTCATTCGAGAAATTCTACACGATTATGTACAATATGTTTCGATCAAAGAGTGTACGCCTTAGGTGAATCTGGCTACTCGCCCTCAATTTCAGACAAACACGATCATTATTACCAATTATGAGAAACTAAGACACAACCATCAATGATGATTTTAAATCGGAGACAAATTCAATATTGTAGTTTCTCCGTTGGAAACAACTCAAACACTTAAGACATGTCTACCATAGTAGGAGACGAAACCTCACAGAGATTAGTCTCGCAAATGTTTCATGCTAATTCAACAGCAGAGAAACATCTGCGAGACGACTAACCTTTGTGGGGATTGACAGATAAATCAAGAAATTCACATATTAACACTTCATCAGGAAGAATAAATTGGTTAAGGCTTTCGCCTCAAAATCATCAATGATGATTTTTTTTCAACTATACATAAGATATTTTGAATATATGCATGTGTATATACTCTAAAGGCTTATTAAGTTCTCCATAACTGAATATTGAAAGGTTAACTAGAACAAAATAAGTGTAGAAATATAACTGACGTAATCAAAAGAGAAATGAAAATTTCTAAGTTTGTTACCACTTTTATTTGTAACTAACGTTACTGCAGTTTCGTCCTATACGGATATTTTCAAACTTATACAATAAACTTTCTGAGTTAGAGACATCAGAGTAAATACCATTTCTGAAGAGTCGATTTCATAGAAAAAGTTTGCGTCAATTCATCTCACACAAATATATTTGGAAACTGATTAACATTTCCTTTTCGAACTTTTCGAAGTATAAACTTAAGGAAATTAACGAATTTATTTTTTATCGCAGACATGTCATTTTGAGAATTTTTGCGAGCTGATCTCTCCGAATAGAATGTGGGAATCACAGATTACAACAAACGTAAAAGTTGTTGTAATTTGTTTTTCAACAAACGGCCGTTTTCATGGTCCAAAATATAAAGAAGTAGAATATTGAAAATTCTGACGTGACAGGTTATGAAGTTTTTAATGATATGTTTTGACTTTTGGGGTATTTAAATACCGTCCGACGTTATTTATATTAGGGAACAAAATGAGTGGTCTTACCGCAGGGGATGCTAGTGCCCTAACACTGGAAATAGGACCATTTGAAACTGTGCATAGGTGGAAGCGAATGCCTGAATGTGATGAATTTGTTGGAGCTAGGTATTTACTCCTAGTAATTTTCTCTGAAGGCAATGCCTTCATCCAAGCACCAGACTCTATACATGTCGCAAGTTTTGAGTCTAAGAATTCATGTTTTCCATTTATTAGTACTAAAAACTCACAGATATGAATAAATACATATTCATGCATGACTTGAATGATGGTAAAAATTCAAAGATCTCCCTGTGTTTTTCTAGGCGAAGTAAACACACAGTTGTGGCATATAAGGAAGCTATTTATGTCTTTGGGGGAGACAATGGAAAAACTATGTTGAATGATCTTTTGAGATTTGATGTCAAAGAGAAAAGTTGGGGAAGAGCCTTTGCAAACGGATATCCCCCTGCACCTAGGTAAATTTTATTGTTTCAACACGTTATAAGTTTAGTGAGTGTTTGAGGTGTAAACAGAAAAGCCACTAGATGATCTTGAAATGAAACCAAGCATTTGTATAACTTTCCGAGATACTGAATCAACTATTTTTTTTATGAGTGCCATGTTATTCAATATTGAAATAAATTGGAGACTGTAATCCATTGAAAACCATATAAAAAACTTGCTTGTATTTAGGTACAGGCAATTAGCTTCACAACCATCAGCAATGCCAATTACGTCATTTTGAAAAAGAAGTTTGTATTTAGAACATTTCACTACATTGAAAATTTTCAAATCATCGGCAGAGAGAAGGAATTTTGAGTTATGAGTATATGAGTTGATATCATTGATGAATAGGCAGAACAGCAGTGGTCCACAGTAGGATCCCTGTGGAACTTCTAATTTCACAGGTATAATTTCTGAAGCTATGTTTTGTATGCGACTTGAGGTGGGTTCTATATGGTATTTACTAGTGAATTCATCAGACCCGGTACATTAGTCTTAACTCTGTGTGTTTCAAAAACTAATTTTGAGTATTTACTACTTTTAGTTGCAGTTTATTTATGTACTTTCAGTAATTTTTAGGTATTTCATGTTGTGTGACTTTCAGGTACCATCATTCTGCTGTGGTTCATAATACTTCAATGTTTGTCTTTGGCGGTTACACAGGCGATATCCACTCAAACTCAAATCTCACCAATAAGAATGATCTATTTGAGTATAAATTTCACTCCGGTCATTGGGTAGAATGGAGGTTCATGGGAAAAACTCCGGTACCCAGATCTGCGCATGGAGCAGCAATATTTGATAATAAACTCTGGATATTCGCCGGATACGATGGAAATGCAAGACTAAATGATATGTGGACGATATCATTGACTGTAAGGATGCGATTTTGAAATGATGTAAATTATTTTTCTTTTCATTTCATTATATTTATTATCCTTCAATTCAGAACATAAAAAAATCGCCAATGGAATGAATGTAGCCCGTAAAATTTGAATATACACTTTATTTTTCAACAGTCCATTAAACAAAAGCAGTTTGCTGTTTCTGAATTTCCTTTGACATGATTTGTTGTATTTGACTATGTCTTTTGAATAATAAATATTGAAATAGCATCTCAGATGTGGCCTGAAAGATAATACTATATCTATTGATTGATTAAATGAATGATGTAAGAAAAAAAACGAACACGTCAGCTTATTTTTGTTAGGTGGAAAGGTGATGACTTGAGGAAGTCCAAAGAAACGGTATTCAGTAAAATTGAAATGCCACTTACTACTCTCACGCTACACAACTATTTGAGAATTTTTGGTGTCTCTAAACATTAGGATGATATCTGTAAAAAGGGACATCTCATTATTTGCTTTGGGGCCTTTATGACATCACTGCTAATTCACGACACAACTAGGTGATGAACATTAAAATTTGTAAAGTTCAGGGTACTCGTTATCTGTTTAATAGTTATTCTAAATGAAAGATAATGATTTGCTTATGAAACCGCTAGCAACAGTATCGTAAATAACAGAATCTAATCAGTTATAGCAGTTTCCACAATTCTATTTGGGTTGTTACTTGTAGGGAGATGTGAGAAGTTGGGAAGAAGTTGATCAAAAAGGAGAATGTCCTCCAACATGCTGTAACTTTCCCGTTGCCGTTGCAAGAGACTCCATGTTTGTTTTCAGTGGACAGAGTGGGGCAAAAATAACAAATTCTTTATTTCAGTTCAGTTTCAAGGATAAAACGTAAGTAAACAACTTCAAAGGTAGCTGTTTCACACAAAATTTGATGGAAATTCTAACCTTTATGTCTCTCACCAACAAACTAAACATGCTAAATAGCTGAAACTGTGGACATATGTTCGAGTGTACAAACAAAAAAAATACAAAAATTTGTTAATCGAATGTACTTAGCCTGTAAAATTTGAACATTCACTTTATTTTGTTTGAATATCAAAAAGATTTCTTGGTTAATATGAAACTTCACTACCAACTAATTCGAATGGTGGACCCACAAATAGGGATCATGTAATAAATGAAAAATAAAAAAAAAATCAAATAAATTGGAGTACAAAATCAGCACAATTTTTTTACAAAAAACTTGGTAGGAGAATAAGTTTGACTTTTCGTCGTTTACAATTTTCTCAATATAGAGACCAAGATATCAGGTTTTCAGGAAAAAATTATGTTATGAAAAGAAACTAGGATATTTATATAATTGATTTTCTTTTTGGAAATATACACATGAGATGATTTATCAAAATTCAAGGTTAATTTATGTGACTGAAGCCACATTGATATTATATTCAGATCATGAGGTTTAGTGGAAGAGCAGCTCATTTGTATATTCAAACAATATTTCTATATAATTACAAAAAAAAGCTGAACTCCGCCTTTTATGCCAAAAAACATTATTTATTATGTAAAATGGAAAATGAAGTCGCTATTAATATTATTTTGATCATATGCATCAATGACATCTACGTTTCTACAAAAATACTAGCTAACCCAGCAAACGTTTTGCCACATGAATTATTTCTATCAGAACAATAACACTTACAAATAATATTGATCCCTTCAGTTCAAGTTTAGCTATAATTGTCCCTGTGAAAACATGATGTACTCAAATCCAAGCTACAAACAGACATTGTTTGGCCTTTGGACTTATTAATAGTCACTGCAAATGCCAATCTAATTCGAAATCGCACACGTTTAAAATGAATTGGCACATCTGTAAGTATAAAAGGGGCGCGAAACTTGCCATTCAAAATGCTGGCTTCGACAACGATTTTTATTATTTTTTCAATAACTAATCGTGTGCCGTTGTACAGCCGTGTTGGAGTCAAATAATGGAGCGATCTAACCTTCAGTTGTAAACTATGCGGTATGAAAAAATGATTTAAACCTATTCTCAGACCTACTGAATTTACTCATGAAATTTAATGGAAATTGGCCAAGTCGTTTTCGAGAAGTAAGGCAACTAACACTGTAACACGAGAATTTTATTTATTAGATGTATCGTCAGCATAAATTTGACCTATCACTCCAGTCTCAAATTCGATATTGAGTTTATATGAATTGAAAAAAGTGTTGGGCCTAGTATAGATAATATTTCTGACCAATATTACATTTCATTAGTTTGTTTCCTCAGATGGACAAGAATTTCCACGGAGCATATTCTCAGAGGAGCTCCGGCACCTCCAGCCCGTCGATATGGACATTCCATGGTAGCATTTGATCGACATTTGTATGTATTCGGCGGAGCAGCAGACTCAACACTTTCAAATGATTTACACTGCTTCGACTTAGATTCACAAAAATGGTCAGTTGTTTTACCTGACCCCGAATCATTTGTACCGTCCGGTAGATTATTTCACGCTGCTGCAGTAGTTGGTGACGCCATGTTCATTTTCGGAGGAACTGTGGACAATAACGTCAGAAGTGGAGAAATGTACAGGTATGACTGATAAGTAATTTATTTTTTTGTTTTGTCTGCAGACAATCATTTACCTATTGCATATTTGAAAGAAGAAAAACATTTAGGTATGAGAAAGTTGCACGCGCGCTAGGTGCCGCGTTTGCTCAAATTTCCAACGCTCTGTTGGCGCAGTTTAGGCGCAATAAAACCGAGTTTTGGCGGCGACTAATTACTGTAGATGAAACTTGGATACACCATTATACGCCCAAAACAAATACAGTCCAGAAACAGTACAGAAACCATACAATGGTTTCCTCGGGCGTGTCTTAATAACTAATTTTACACATTAAATGCTATAAATAACTTATTCTACAATTTGAGGTACCTGAATTTCAAGTACCTGATTTTTTACCTAAGTTTGTAATGAATTTAATTACCTGAACTTATGTTCCATTTTCCACATTTGAAAAAATATTCAGTAAGGGAGAGTTATTTAATTCTAATTAATCATTCAGTAAATTACCCGAATTCCTGAATCTATTGATTTCTAAACATTCTAGAAGATTGAGTTTCAAACTCTTCTCTTCTAAATGTAACACATAGTATTCCTGATTGAACAACTCATGTCCTTCTGCTAATAGGTGGTTTGCAAATGTGGAATTGGTCTTTCTATTTATCAAACTGCTTCTATGTTCTTTAATTCGTTGGGAAAATGTTCTTCCTGTTTGGCCAATATACAGTTTTGGACAAGAGCCACAAGTCAGCTTATATACGCCTGATCTATCCAACAACGAAGTTTTGTCTTTATTGTTTTTAATAAATTTACTTAGATTATTATTCGTTCTGTGAGCTCAATCTTCTAGAATGTTTAGAAATCAACAGAGTCAGGAATTCGGGTAATTTACTAAATGGTCAGTTAGAAATAAGTAACTCTCCATTACTGAATATTTTTTCAAATGTGTAAAATGGAACATAAGTTCAAGTAATTCAATTCATTACAAACTTAAGTAAAAAATCAGGTACTTGAAATTCAGGTACCTCAAATTGTAGAATAAGGTATATACAGCATTTAATGTGTAGAATTAGTTATTAAGACACGCCCGAGGAAGCCATTGTATGGTGAAACATGTATTGTAAAACTATAAAAAAAATTTTTTATTTATATAAAAACATTTCACTACGTAAACTGAGTTAAAAACTATTCAGGTTTCAGTTTTCGAGTTACCCAAAATGCACTTTACATGACGATTATGGAAAACTGTTAGAAACCAGACTATTTTGTGACATTCAATTCCTAGTTGGACCGGAAGAGGAAAAAATTACGGGGCACTTAGCATTGGTTGCTGCGAGATCGGCATACCTCAGAAACAAAATACGCCAAGCCAAAGAGAATAGGGACAAACACTTGGAGAGATTGTTCGGTAGTTGTTTTTCTGTTTTCATTTCGATTCATTTTTGGAATAACCGACTGCTGTCGCAGGTACATCGAAAGTTCCTTTCTCAGACATCCCCCTATTAGAAGTGAAACTGCCCGACGCCGATCCCGAGGCTTTCGAAATGGTACTGAACTACATTTACATGGATTGCATCGATCCGACGAAGAAAGGTGGGGATGATGAGGATCCGCTCTCCAACAGAATCGTTCTGAGAATGATGGACGTGTACAGGCTGGCGGTACAATTCAACATGGCTCGGCTGGAGCACCTTTGTGTTCAATATTTGAACGCCACCATTTGTTTGAAAAATGTTTTGGTAGCTTTACACAACGCAGACCACTTGCAACTAGATTTCATCAAGGAATATTGCTTGAGGTTCATCGTTAAAGAAAGCAATTATAATCAAATTGTGATGAGCGCCGAGTTTGAAAATTTGGATAGGAGTCTCATGGTGGAGATAATCAGGAGGAAGCAGATGCCGCAATATAAGGTGAGAATGTTTATAAATCTGATGATGCTTGCATCACTACCTTGAAAAAGTCTACAAATAAGTTCGCGATGGTATATGTCTATCTTTTAGGGATAACACACAAGAAGCAATGTGAAATTAAAACTCGAAATTGGTTTTTGATCCCTTGTTTTGAAAATAACAGTAGTAGTGCCACTCTTATTGCAATAACTCACAAACTTATGAGTAGAATATCATGAAATTTCAACAGCTTTCTTTTGAAGGTTAGCACTGACTGAAAAAGCAAATAATGCAATAAGACTAGCGCTATCTATGTTTGAGGCCTGACACTTTTTAGCCCATGTGGTATAGATTAATGAACTCCCACACTGCATGAGTCATTTTAACACCATTCAGTATGCTGATGAAACTATGTTTTAGAACCTTTGACTATTCTCTTTAATCATTGCATCTCCAATGGAGAATTCCCTGATGAATTCAAGCTAACTAAAATGATACGCATATTTAAAAAAGGTGACAAAAATACCATTGACTACCGTCCAATGTCGATAACACCAATTTTTGGTAAGATTTTTGAAATCATTAAAAAAAGCTGCTTAATTTCGTTCTTTACTATGCAAAAAACGTTACATGAAGGTCAGTTCGGCTTCAGACAGAACTGATTCGCTGTTCAAGCGATACAAAGACTTGTGGCTGAGACAGTTGATGATTTTGAGGCGGGTCAACATACGGTGGTGTCTATGTGTGACTTGAGCAAGGCCTTCGACTGTGTTTCTCACACAGTACTATTAGACAAACTGCAATTTTACAGTATAGGGCATATTACTCAATCAAACAATTGAAAAACACTCTAGATAATTTTGGATTGATGAATGTCTATTTTTCTATGGCTTATTCTCACATCAGCTTTAATATCATTTCTTGAGGATGTGCAAGGGAATTTCCACGAGTTTTTGTTGCTCAGAAAAGATTGCTAAGACTAATTTTTAATATAGATTTTCAAGATAGTTGTAGACCAATTTTCTTAAGAGAGGGCCTATTGACGGCACCTTCTTTATTTATCTTGAAGTGTATCACTTTTGCCCGTAACAATATAACTGAATTTGTCACAAATGCGGATATACATGGTAGAGACACCCGTCATGGGAAACTGTTAAGAACCCCCTCACACAAAACGGCTCACTTTAGATGCTCCCCACTATTTAATACAACAAACTGTTATAATAACTTGCCAGCATCTATTAGGAAAATCGAGTCAGATAAACTTTTTAAAATTGAGGTGAAGAAATTTCTCTTACAGAAGTGTTACTACAGTCTTGAGGAATTTTTGCAAGACACTTTTTCATGACATTTTGAGAGTATTTGCTAGAGCTTCTCCGATTTTTTATATAATACTTCTATGTTGTGAAAGTTTGTGGACGTGAACCATATTTATTGTTTTGTATTGTTCAGCTTCTGTAGTTTTATTTTTGTTTTTTAATTATGACTTAGCACATGTACTAAATGTACCAAAGTGTCAAATAAATAAATAAATAAATACGTGGTACTGCATGGAAATTATTCGAATCGTACTTGAATAGTAGGAGACAATCTGTTTTTATAGACAACAGCTAATCTGAAATCGAGAACATTCATTTTGGGGTACCTCAAGGTTCTATCCTTGGCCCACTTTTATTCATTGTCTATATCAATGACATATTTCATCACGTGTCCAATCAAATGTATTTGTTATGCAGATGATTGCTTCCTTTATGCTTTCGGCAAGAAACTTGATCACTTGGAAGAAACTTCACGTGCTTTTTTAGGAAAAGCTGAAACATGGTTCGATTCTAATTGCTTGAAACTCAATAAAAACAAAACTCAGAATATTGTTTTTTCAACCAACAATACGATTGCCAACAATTCAGAAGTTAAACTACTTGGAATTGTTATGGATGATAAATTAAAATGGACAGCGCTTATTGAGCACCTAAGTAAAAAAATAACCTCATCTCTCTTCATAATACTGAAAGTAAGCAGATTTGCTAACCTGGCAGTTTTGAAAACAGCCTACTTTGGCTTATTTCACTCTCACATGAATTACTCTATGGGGAAACGCTGTAGACTCTGTGAGAATTTTTAGGCTCCAGAAATGAGTTTAACGAATAAAATCTAAAGCCAATTATAGAGACAGTTGTCGCCCCATATTTGAAAACCTAGAAATACTCACCTTACCGTGTATTTACATCCTCAATTGTTTGCTGGATATTCATAGAAATAAAGAAAAACTTGAAAAAAATAGTTCATATCACAAGAAATTGTAACTTGATTCGACCAACTAAACGTCGTTTATTGACTTCTGAACGCAACACCTTAGACGTGAAAATATATAATAAATTGCCAGTACATATCAAGGAACTACCTACCCATGAGTTCAAGATGCTAATTCCAAAATATTTGATGTCACACTGCTTCTACTCGACAGGGGAGTATATGAAGGCCGATGTGAGTTCATGGGAAACTATATAGTGTCATAACAAACACTACAACACATGCCATAGGGGAACAGTCTTCACCCAATTTAATTCTGAATAATTAGAAATGAGAGAATATATTTTAAATTGTAGTTTTGTTTTGAATGTGTATTTTATTTTATATTTTATTTTATTTTGCTATGTCCTGGACCTACTACAAATAGAATAATACTCTGTAAAGTGGTTGAATTAATAAATATAGTCACCCTGTTCATCATTACTCTGAGGAACAAACTGAAGTCGCAATAAAGAAAGTTGATATATTCTTTGCAGCTAATAATTTGTGTCTTAACATAGAAAAATACAGAAAATTAAAATTATTCAATACTGCAACTTAATGAACTTTACATATTTCCTTTTCAGGCGAATAGTGAAACTCAGTTTGATACAGCGGGTTGTTCACTGGAGCAAGATATGGCCATGTTTTTGAGAGTAACGGGAAAAGAGTTTTGTGACATTGATCTGAAATTAGATGACAACCTCATACCAGCCCATAAAACTATTTTGGCAGCAAGATGTGGTTACTTTGAAGCCATGTTCAGATCGTTTATGCCTACTGATAGCAAAGTGAACGTGAGTTATTTATGTGCAATAATGATGACTTTTTTTTGTTATAAGAAAGGTAGAGAACACAATTTGAAGTACCTACATTTCAATTACACGAGTTTTACCTGAGTTGTAATGAAATAAATTACCTGAGCTTGTGTCCCAGTTTCCACATTTGAAAAAATATTTAGTAACGGGGAGTTATTCAACTCTAATTGATCATTCAGTAAATTACCCGAATTCTTAAATCTATTGATTTCTAAACATTCTAGAACAGGGGTCTCCAAACTTTGATGCCTTCGGGCCATAATGATTTTTTCAGTTTGTTCCAAGGGCCAATTTCTGCCCTCAACTATATTTCTAGACTCGGATAGCCGCAAAATGCGTGTCCTAAGCAAACTTACGCTTTCTTGAATTTCAATTATTATTGTGTATTGTGACACTTAACGACATCTAGTGGCGAGTAGTGGTACTATGTACTATCTTTTTCAGCTACCCGCTAGGTGGCATTAGGCGAACCAACGCCTGTTAAAAGGTGGTTTGCAAATATACAATTGGTCTTTTTATTTACAAAAATACTTCTATGTTCTTTAATTCTTTGGAAAAATGTTCTCCCTGTTTGGCCAATATACAGTTTTGGGAAAGAGCCACATGTCAACTTATATACATACACCTGATCCATCCGTCACCGAGATTTTGTCTTTATTGTTTTTGATAAATTTACTTAGACTATTATTCGTTCTGTAAACTACGTTTACACATTATTTCTTTAAAAAACGAGCAATATTATTCGTGGGCTCACCCAAATATGACAATGTCATCATGTTTGTTTGTGTTTGTTATTAATTAGACCAATTCTGAAATAGCTCCCTTTGAAGTTATATATTAATATATGAACATTGCCTGCAAAGTCCATTGTAGTTTTTTGGAATTAAAAAATCATGTTACATTTATGTGATCACTATACTATTTTTGAAGATACTTTTGTTCTCTATAAAAATGACACAAACTTCAACCAACCAAAAAAATAAACATCATTATTATTATATTTTTGTTACCAACATCTCATATGTTGCCAACAGTTATTTTTCTCTTCTTTTCAGATACAAATCGGTGAAATGATTCCATCTAGAGAATCGTTCGACTCTTTGCTACGATACATCTATTATGGAGACGTAAATATGCCTCCTGAGGACTCTCTCTATCTTTTCTCGGCGCCATTTTTTTATGGGTTCACTAATAATAGACTTCAAGCGTTCTGTAAGCAGAACTTGGAAATGAACGTTACTTTCGAAAACGTCATCCAGATCTTGGAAGCTGCTGACAAAATGCAAGCAACAGATATGAAGAAGTACGCCCTGGACCTGATCGTGCATCATTTCACGAAAGTGGCGAAGCTGCCAAGATTGAGGATGCTGAGCAAGGAGTTGATTCTCGACATCCTTGAAGTTCTAGCCGAGAGCATGGAGATGAATTCGAAGAACACTTCGACGGATAGCCTCTTGAATTGGGAAATATGATGGTTGAGCATGGAGGGGGAGATGAATTTGGCTCTGAGGAGAGCGTCTGTCATTTTGTTGACATTGATTTCTGTGATTATTGATCTTAGTTTAGTTGAAAGATTAGTCATACACTAAGGATAAGGAGATATATATTAAACTTGTTGAGAAGTCTAGTTCTGTTCAGTAGAATTCATGATATATAACACATGTTGATGAGAGGAAAATAAATGAATAGAAGTACAGTATTCCTTTTTTTATTTATGGATATGATGAAGTCATACCTTAACGAAAGATATCAAATTGTTGATCTAGGAAATACCAAAAGTGGAAAAAGAAAAATATTGAGAGGATTGCCACACGGGTCACTATTGGGGCCACTTCTGTTTCTAATATATATCAACGACCTACCTCACGTTATTAACTCGTCAGGCATAGAAACTATATTGTATGCAGATGATGCAACCTTGGGCAAAAAAATATATAAAATAGATGATCCTCATATGATCCATACTGACTTATTAGAGAAATCTCGATCTTGATTCTCAATGAACAAAAAACAGAAACTCTAACTTTTCAAACAATTTGCTTAAATCGAGATAACAAAAATTCTACCAAATTTTTGGGAGTACAAATAGATTCCAATCTGAAATGGATAGACCACATAAATAACATGTGTTGTACACTTAGTAAGACGGTCTTTGCTATCAGAAGAATTAAAAAAATAGTAAAGCAAAGTGCGGTACTTGCAACATCATTCTCTTTTTCATTCAGTCCTTAGGTATGGTATAATCAATTGGAATAATGTATCAAAGGTACATCTTAATAGAATATTTGTCATTCAAAAATCTGCAGTAAGAAGCATAATCTCTGCCAATTATGATGAAAAGTGTCGACCAATATTTGTAAAACTTAAAATAATGACCCTATATTCAGTTATTGTCTATGAAAATCTGCTTCTTGTTCAACAAAACTTGTTGAATGAAGTTGCTCACAAGGATATACACCAACATGATACAAGAAATAAATCAAACCTTGTTCCTACAGCTAATAGGTTGAAAAGAACAGATAATGTAGGAATTGAGCTATACAATGCCTTACCTGCCGAATTTTGTAGCTTGCCATTTAAAAGATTTAAAAACTTATTGAAGAAAATATTAACCAAACATCCTTTATATGAAATTGATCAATTTTTCGAAGTTATCCGAGAAGAAAGAGACACTTTTGTGGTCACCTCCCGAACTTTTACTCAAATTTGAATATATATAATACGTTAGCTATGTAATTTATAATTTGTAAAAGCTCATGGCTTTACATTTTGGTTTTCACAATCAAGAAACTACTTCAATGTTCTTTTATTCTATGGAGAAAAGTTCTCCCCGTTTGACCAATATAATTTTGTTAATACATTTGCTTAAATATAAAATCAAGAAAATAACTTTTCTCTAATTCGTAATGGGATTTTCATTCGTTACAACCGGTTTCAGTTCATTAAACCATTCTCGAGTAAACTGAAGGAATTTGACAAACAAATCCTTAAATATACAATGATACAGTCAATGTTCTTCAGGTACCTGCAATAGGTATCTAAAATAACAAAAATTTTACCTGAGTTATCAATATCTTATCCAAGCCTCCACATTGCCAAAAATTTATTGAATTCTTCAGTAATTAATTTGGAGTCACTGATGCATTATTAACACAGACTAAGAGTATTGAAGGAGCATGTGAATTTTGATCAGAGAAAAGATATGGAATGCTATTTATCAGGCTCACAATTAGAGCAATTCATATTGATGCGTCCAGTTTTGATACTAGTTCCACGATTATGGCAATTTGTAATTTTATGTCTAGGCGGGGGAAAAAAAATGCTGTGGAATAATGGAGCAACCGAACAAATAGGTCGGAGAAAGTGGTCCGATCCGGCTCGAAGGACCATTGTTATTATTTCAAAATGTTTTGAATTGAAATTACGAACTTTATTTTCAAATACAAATCAACAATTATATCTACCAAGCCGCTACACACAAGTAACTTTTTTTTTCGAACAACCCTACTGGATGAACAAGAAAGTTTCATGTGTGTGGTTCAAATGTCAAAAAGATTGTTATACGTACTACTCTTTATGGCACAAATACAAAATCCTCCATTTCATTTTTCCATTTCGGAAAATCATATTAGTTTCATATATAAAGAATATCTTTTCTGTTGAGGTTTAATAAAACACTACTATTCAACAAAAATTTACTAAAACTAATCAAAACTGGTGTTGCTCTAACCAATACTTTACTGCATTTACATAATCTCCATTCATTCTTATGAATCCAGCAAATTCATTAACATGACTTCGAACTGGTTTAAAGGTATCTTTATGGAGGAATTTTAAAAGGTCATTTTCTAATTGAAATATATTGCCTTGAATATTTTTGATAATTGTATGCTTTCTTATTCCTCTCTGTCCCAGTTTCAAATAAACAGGAATCATGTGGTTTCTCGTTCTTTCAACAAAGTATGGTTTACTTTTCATTTCTTCTCCCTGTGGTTTCCAGCCTGAAGGATATACTTCTTTCTTCAACGGTTCTGGTACTATATGCACTGGCAAAGCTCTTTGCACATATTGCCAGTCATGCGGATCCTTAGTAACTTCATATTTTGTGTTCACTTCAACGTCTTCCAGGAAAGGTGATGATTTATAGCTAGACCATCTCACAAACTGCAGAGTCTGGAACAGTAATGGATTTAGTAAAACAAAGACGCCTCCACTATAAACAACTTGGTAACTATTGAATAATTACACAGCAAACTGATAATCTCCATGGCAAAAGTTGAAGATCTCAACAATTATAATTAATAATTAAAATCTCCTTTCTCACACAATCAGAACTGTGATAAAGAATCATACTTATCAGTGTTATGGGAATATTTACAAAGTGGAAAGTATTTTTTTTACATCAGTCTTTTAACAATAGGTATTTTTCAATAATACCCCTATACCTTAAGTTCAATGCTTTATGGATACAATAATGTTCATTTACCTTGTTTTGGACAGATAAGCAAGCAGACAATAATCGGCGACTTGCCGAAGTTATACCTGCCATTATTTTATTGAGAATTCTTCAAACTGCTTGCTGAAGAATTATTTAAATCCTTTATAAAAAGAAATAACCCAACGTAAGTAATCCCATTTGCGTATTATTTGTAAGTTTGGAGGTTATATCATCCACCGTAGCAATGACTTTATAATAGGGATTGGTTATTGAAAAGAGAACATTGTCTTCAACAACTGAAAAGTGATGGATTGATTCATGTACTGGCATACGCGTCACTCATACACTTAAAGTCAGAAACGTCACGATGATTTACGTGTTGCATATTTCCATGAGGAAATACATATTGAATATAGGATAGAGGAAACAAAAACAACTTTTGTTACGACCGGTTTCGGTTTGTTAAACCATTTTCAAGTAACCTGAAATTTACTTGATAATTTATTTGTTACAGTGTTGCCATTCGCAAACAATCGTACTTCTCTAACTTCGTTCCTATTCTTTTGAAAATATTTCCCTTGAAAGCCCTGGCTAATTTCGCCTGTTTGAGCGTTTCACTAGTTCCTTTTTCTGGCAATTTCTTGTTCCTCGTTACATGTTCTTTTTTTACCCTCTCCATATACTTTTTTCGTTTCACTTCTCGCTACGCTTTTGTTTCAGATCTCTTGATTCTTTTCTTTTCTCTTTTTTGATCTCTTTCTTTTTGTTCTTCCAGTTCTTCATTACTTTTTGTTATTAAATTGTTATTAATATTTCTTTATTGGTTTCTCTTATACAAACGTTGTCACCGATTTCGCCTCTGCATTCATAAATTATATTGATGAAAATGTATTTTTTCTGATTTATGACCGATAGTGAACTTTAGTGCATTGCTTTGCTCTCACGATGCAAAACGTTTAATATGGGGGACTGGTTGAACTTTTATCGATGTCAAATAGTGTTGTTACTTACATTTCAGCTTTCAGGTACTAGATGGCGTATTACGCAATGGAGACTTTTTATCAATTTGATCATTATTTGTTGTTTTTTGCTGTAGAAAAGTGCTTTTCCGCCAAGAACTTCTGAAATAAAAGAGGGTAAGATTCTTAGTCATACCATAACAATGAACAGCTGATTTTTAAACTATCAATCATGATTAATGTCGAACTATAACGAAACGAATATGTATAGCAAATCGTACATTATACACAGATCACAGACAACTGAATTTGGATGTTTGGGATAAGTCATCTCCTAGTACATTTGCTAATGAGTCCGACAGAGAAAGATGGAGCTTTTGTCAGTTATAAGTAAATTATTCAATTGAATTCGTTTGTAAGTAAATTTATGTGAAATAAGTTATATTAGAAGGAGGAGAAGTTCAGCTAACCTCTGATCGTTAGTAGAATACTGGACATTTCCATAATCATTAAAAAACATTTCATTTCCTACAGAGAAATCACAGGTTTTATAATAATGGAAAAAGGGAGGTGCAGAAAAATGACTGTCACTTCTGTCGAGATTTTTATACGAGGTCAACCAAGAAACACGAAAATTCAAAAATAAAATTTTAGTTTTCAACATTGTTATTTTGTTCATATCCTGAAGCTTCAGTTTTCCTTCTTTCAGAATATCTAGCTTCAACTGACCGACAATATTCTGTTCAATGCAATTTTATCTAACTTTATTAGGTATATCTGAGAAATACCGATTATCATGTCATCTCTTTCTGTTTTTAAGGCTGCATTTAGCTTTCGCAAATTATTTTTACTCATAATGGATTTTTTTTGCCCAGTAATATTCTTCGGGTTTTTGAAGTGCGTCTTCCAGATTCCATTCAGATCTAGAAAAGTGGTTATCTTTCTTTATTAAAACCGTCCCTGTTTATACATATTATTATTATCTGGCAAACAGAGTATCATTTTCTTGAATGCTCCATCACTACTGTTATAGATAAGAATTTCTAATCAGCTTTGTTCATTTTCATTATATTTAGGCTGTTAATATATTGTTAAGTTGTTGTCAATTCAGTTTAATTTCTTTTGAAGAGATAACAGGTACTCGGTAACTAGTTCCGGAATCGTGACCAGATTATGGAAAAAGAAAACGGAAACTCAGAAAATGATGTGGAAGAGGATAAAGTCGAATTTACTCCACTTGATGGTGGTTATGGATGGGTTGTTGTTTTCGCAATTGTAATAATAAATGTAAGTATTTGAGTAGCCTTAGGAATGGAATAAGGGTTTTTTGTGGTTGTTTAGGAGGTGCTAGATTTAACCGTTCTCTTAAAAATAGTTCTGTCCACGACAAATTCAAAATGAAATCACTTTTCTCAGTTAAAGTTGTACATAATATACACTATTATACTTTCTTTCCTAGTAGTGAAAAAATAATTAAATGCCCATTATAAAGGCAAGACGCTAACGGAGTGCTCAAACAAAATTTTGTGAATAACAACTCATTTGACAGATGTATCTTCAACAAGAATTGTCAAAGTTAGGAAATCCCCGCTTGATGACCCTATACAAAGCATTATAGTCTATTTCAAAAGAGTGTAGAGTAATAAATCATGAAGTGTCATAAAATTTGCCTGAATTTCGTTGTCGTCCATGGGCGTAGGCAAATCTTAGGATTATTAAACTTAATAATTAAAGTAAATTAAAAATTACAGACATAGATAATAATAAAAGGCCATTTTTGGGAAGTAATTTGGTCTAAAACTAAGTACCTACATGTATTTAGGTAAGTAAAATTTCTTAAAAAAAGATTAAGATTAATTTTAGTGGTTCTTGTAAACTTATTTAATATGCAATTTGGGTTCATATACTTGAGCATGATTTCTCAAAAAAGGGTTAACACTTAGTTCCGAGGTGCCATGTCATTATAATAATCCCTTTTTGACCCTGCCCACCAATCATGCAATACCTATTAAAC